CTCAATTGATTGCTTGGACAGTTGCTGTCGCGTGCCAATGATCATGAACTCTGTCTTCCCATCATTCATTTTCAATTTGCTGCATGTCATCCATCCTTGAATATCTCTGATGCAGTTCGTTATAGTATCCGTAGCTTCATTTTGGCTGTCCATGTGTCCTGGCTTGAACGAGAGGTAAAGTTGGCTGTCATCCGCATAAGCATGAGCTTTTACCGAGTGTTTGTTTAGAATCTTGAACAGGTCACTGGCGTAGATGATAAAGAGAAGAGGCCCTAAACAGCTTCCTTGAGGCACACCGCTTGTGATGCTGAACTTTTTAGATACACATCCGTTGATAGAGACACGTTGGCTTCGGTCATGTATACTACAACGTTTCTGCAATCGAGTGTAACTGAAACAAGCGTTTGCTTGAACGACCTTTTTGAATGGTAGGAACAATGAGATTAAATGCCTGGGATAAAATCTTAAAAAGATAGCATGACAAATTCTTTAATTCCCCATACGTAAAAACCCTTTTGTCTGTTCTGTTTTCTATTTTTTTTTAAAGGTTTCGAATGTGATTATTTTCTAATTTTGATTTCTTAGTTTGTTTTTCTTTTATTYATCTTCTAACTCTGTAGACTTTATAATTTTACTTTATAGTGAGTCTTCTTATCTGATCCAATTTAGCTTGAAATTTTCTTCATAATGTGATCATGAGATTATCCTTTAGATACATTAACAAGCCTATAAAGACGTTTTTTTAATTTTGGAAGAGTAATTAGCTATATCAAACTCACTGTGTTATATTGGTTTTTAATTTCTATTTGCACAGATTGTTCTGTTTGCCAGCGGCCATAGGCCATAGGAGACGAGAAACTAATATCCCTTAACTAAGACAAGTTTACTTTACACTTTTAGCGAAGGTCAACTAATATAATCAATAGAATAAAAATTAAACAYGTATACTTTATAAAGTAAACCATTTGCGCATTTGGATCCTGTGTTGGACTTGCGAAAGCAATATCTTGTTGCTTCTAAAGTGAAATATCACCATCATTTCGTCGTGCAATGAAAAATACTAGATTTTATGGATTTCACACGAGATCAAGCATTAATCAATACCAGGTGTGCAAAGAAAGTTTTTCCACTCTTAAACAAAAGTATTTTTAGATCAGGTTTCGTCTCCTAGTTTTTAGTCCTTAAAAAAGACGTTTATATTTATGAAAGTCGTCTTTCCTTGTAAATAATAACGCGATAATTTTCAAGAAYGTTGTATTTAACAGCAATCGATAAGTATGACTACTCTATTGAGTGCAATCAGAGATAAATTGAAACTCTTTTTGCTCATAATTAAAGTAAAATAATACAGTTTGCTTTCGATCGAAAAACGAATAGCCACAACTTTTGGCACAATACTGCAAAAAGAAAAGGAAAAAAAAAAAAAAAAAACGGATTGAAGCATACTAAAATAATTTACGCACTTAAGTTTTTGTATTTGGCTCTTTCGCTCTCAGTCTCGCGGTGTCCTTTACTCCGTTTAATCGTCATTCACAAATATTGTACAATTTAAAAATAGGTAGAAAATAGTTAAGAGCCACTAAACGTTGGATTATAAAAGTTAATTCAGTAAGAAATCCTCTATCCCTTTATTTCGTGGTAAAAAAATATAAGAACTGAAAKAATGATAAACTTATATTTGTATTGCTAAAAAGGAAAAGGATTATATTATGACACAAAATTATAATACAACTATATATAAGTGCACAAAATAAATTCTTAAAATCTGATTTTTGATTTAAGATCTTTTCAAGYATTATTGCAGCGTTGGGGTTTTAGAGTACACCAAAATGTTAACCATAAAAAAGACATTAATAAACAATATTAATAAACTAATACATGAAATGCGTACCTGAATATGTTTTTATTGATCATAGGTACTATATACCATACTTATTCTGGCTTCACCTTCAATACAGCAGCGTGATGTTATCCCATGTATCCCTGATGGTGAGTGATGGTCATGTTATCCCATGTATTCCTGACGGTAAGTGATCGTCATGTTATCCCATTATTTAATTCTAGTCTTCTTGTTTTGTTTTGTTTTTTTACTGCATAGCAATCAAAGGTGTGCTTAATGAAGTCTGGACAGGGATCAATGGTCTAGGGGGAATAAATACATTAATTTCAGACAGCCGCTTTCCCGATAGCCCATCGATGGTTAGAATCGTTCATACTTTTAACGTCCCACAAAATGCAGATRATAGATATGGTCAGCGTTTGCGTGCCTACATGTTTGCACCAAAAAATGGAAGCTACCAATTGCAAGTTGCCTGTAATTGGAAATGCGAAGTTTATCTGAGCAGTGACTATGATCCGGCTGGCAAGAAAATGATCTTTGAAACAGAGTAAGTTAAAAT